GGCTGGGGGCTGCCCAGCTTGGGCGGGCGGTAGCCGTTCAATGAAGTGCGAAGACTTCTCCCACCGTCGAGAGGAAACCCCAGGTACTNCTTTCGTTACAGTCGCTAAAGTCACAAGTTAAGTGACTATGAATCGGATTAATTTATTCCATTGGATTCCAAATGACAAGCGGCGGGAATCGATTTGATTTCGGATATCACCAGATTGTCAAATGAACCAAATGTGGTTACGTAAGACGAAAGCAGAGGTACGCTGATCAAATTGGAACACACGTCCCCCCCCCCTCAACCCCGCCTCCGGACATAGCCAGTTTTGCAAGCCCGATAATTCCAACGGTTTCGACCCAATTTCCATTTCAAATTTACAGATGCTGTCTCCGAGTATGAAGATGTGGAAATGTGTTTTTATTGATTTCCCGCCCAATCCATCGTTTAATCAGTCTGTCAGGCACTCGGATAGGCATCGGTCTCGAGTTTTGCTCTCAATCTAGCTCTGTCCTAGTATGTAACTACCGACAGGTTGAGAATTCGAACTCCAAACAATACCCCATACCCCTATTCATACCATGTTTAACACCATATATTAGTTGGAAAGCATCACGTCAGCTATCAATAGGACTGGACGGTATCCTTGACAAGCACTGATAATTAAACACAAAAACGTAAGCGAAAATTACTTTAGCCCTGAGATGCGTAGCCGTTAGTAAGCTAACTACATAACGATCGATTTTAACTCCAACACCGGTACACAAAACACCGATCTCATTTGTGATAATTCTTTGGTAATATATCTGCTAAGTCTGCGATTATAGGTCGTCTATTTAACTGTTTTTTTACAACCCAATTGGACGCGGAGAACCTTTCTCGGAGTTATGATATTTTTTAAAATCTGAAACGGACCCAGTTTATGAGAAACAATCTTGGTGTAAAAGGGGTTTCCAATCGTAATATAGGGAGCATAGTTTCATGAAAATACTATAAGTATTTATGGTGAACACTGAAACAACAGAAGGACTAATTCAAGTCCGTGTGTGATTAGCACGATGGATTACCGCACATTTGTGCCCGGGTTCGAGTCCGTAAAGAATTCAGCAGTTAGGCACAACCGATAATCTCCCGTAGGCCAATTACCGATAGTTTTGTGGGATTCCATTACTTTTCATTGGCACGCGACCAAATTGAAGCCCCGCAATTGGTAAACTTTCTACATACTCACACCTTGCGAATAATCACCTCTCTCGTTCCGGGTGAACAAAGTCCACATTGAAACAGAGAATACGAACTTTAAGTGAATGATTGATTGTATTTATAATGATTCATTTCTAGCGAACAACAAGTTTTAAACCAGGGTGACGAGTACACACCTGTTTGGGTGTACGTGATCAGTCATTACAAAAACATTGACTAATTCACGCTCTCACGCACTCTCTCTCTCTCTCTGAGGTGAAATTTAGGGTGAAAAAGAGGTCATAGCAGGTGACCCAACCCGGCGGCGGGGAACGAGATTGGCTCATTTGTTACAACAGCGCACAATCGGGCACAGGAACATACAAGCCCGTGCTTTTGGGGATAGGTGTTCGTCGCTGTTCACCGTGAACATGGACTGTTTGTCGCAACAGAATGCACAGGACAGGGACACCATGAACCAGGTGAGAATGATCAGGATCAGAAGTAACAAGATGAGAATAATCGCCTCGGTCGTCACCGTGGCCGCATCATCTGTTCGGGGTTGAACCTCCGTCTCTCCCGCGGTCCCGACCAAGGACATTGGAGGCACAAACTGTAGGTTCGCATCATGGACTTGAGCAAACACAACGGAACTCAGTACGAGGAGACCGAGCACTGGTTGAAATAATCGGGTGTGAAATGCAAAGACGGAATCGGAATAGGAGAGACAATATTACGGCAATTACAACAGACCATTCATGTTTTTAAAAATCAGGAAATTTTTAATCAATCAATCAACCGGTATATGACAATGGATTATCGATTTTCGGAATACTGTTGTAAGGGAAATTGTGTAAGGATCATCATTATTGTGAATTCAGGCACACATACAATGAAAACAATTTAAAACCTTTTTAAACACTTTCAATCTGTAGGGTATATATGATGTTTAGACGATGAATTCGTCGTGTAAATGAGGCATGCGCTGAATAGCTTGCGTTCTACCCGTGTAGTTCCGGGTTCGCGATCCCCAGTTAGATCGATGGATGCAGTAGGACGAAACCTAACCAGGTCGAAACAGCAATGCTTCGTAGCTTTTCAGCTAACGCCTTATTTACACAACGAATTCATTATCTAATCTGTTATATAATCCTGGTTCTCGCAAACGAATGTATACCCGGGGAATTCATATCGCAAACGAACGCAGTTGACTGTTCTCTCGCTGACGCAATCATCCAGATAGTGTGATGGAACTCCAATAGAATCAATCCGGTAAAGAAACACAACTGAGAGAGAGAAAAACAGAAACGCCAGATGTGTTTAACATATCCTATCGCAGCAGTAATACAAAAACACAAACAACCCTCATCCAAGTCCTGGACAGAGATGCACCACGATATGCGTACGAACGAACGTCAAAGACAGGGCCTTGTGGACCTTGAAGCCCTGTGTCTCACACACACAGTCCAAGAAAGTCAGGAAATTATGTCAAGTTAACTGAACTATGATTATAGATAGTTTTTTTCGTCCCACTAGAGAAAAAGATGCGTGCCAGGTTGGCCAGTTCCCCAGCAGTTTCTGAAAAACAGCTGATGAACGGGAACCCCCCCCCCCNCCCTCGCCCCCCGGTTTGTCATTTCATCATCATGATAGTCATCAGATGGGAGAGTACATCAGTTCCCTACAACTTAGATTCGACCATTCTTACAGATAAAGTAAAACAGTAGATATGCACTAACTCCAGTCAGGATGGACAAAGTTTTCGGTTGTTTGAACAAAATATGCGCTTCTGAAACAAAATGAGATCAACAGTCATGGTGTCCAGAGAACAAAATCACAGACAGACTGAAGGAACTCGTTTTGGGTTCCAAAAAGCTATAAACAAATTGTCTCAAATGCGTTTGAGTTCGGTTGGAGAAACATTTCAATTTTGAGACTGTTTAGCGAAGATTGTAAAAGAACAGTTCATTCACATTTGATTTAATAGAAACCCAAACCCGTTTTCTTTTGGTTTGTGTGTGAGAAACCGGGCACCTGGGCTATGATTATAATCTCCCATGGTGTTCACCCCCCATCTTCTTCTGTTATCAACTTGTTCAGTCGAGCTTTAATTTGACTACAAATATAAGGTGGCACATCAAACCTGACGATACGTTTTGCCCACAACCTAGACAATTTTTGTACGTTTTCTTTTTGCAGACAGAAATCACGACCGCGGTTGACTGTCTGACGAAAACCACTAAATCAAAGGTTCCGAATTCTCATCTGTGGATTACCCAGCAGCACATGTATGCTGGATTTAGAAAATAGATAAAAGATTTGCTCCATATCATCGACGGAGTGACTTTATTTTTTCCGTCAACTAAAGTTTCACTGTTTGCCTCCCTTTCATGTCCGAAAGGCAGTGTGCACAGTTATGATACACGGACGCCCAGACAAACAAGCACC